TTTAATCCATAGGGCAACCACTAAGAAAATAATTTCTTAAATCTTCTAAAAACAACAGAGAATTAAAATGGCATACTAAAAATGTACTTTAGGGAATACCTGGGTGGCTCAGCAATTGAGCATCTGCCTTTGGCTCAGGGCATGGTTCTGGAGTTCTGGGATGGAATGCCACATCTGGCTCCCTGCAAGGAGCCTGCTTCTCCCTCTCCCTATGGCTTTGCCTCTTATCTGTGTCTCTCATGAATGAATGAATGAATGAATGAATGAATGAATAAATAAATAAATCTTTTAAAAATAATAAAATAAATAAAAATGTACTTTAAAAAGAATGCAATAGTGGAGAAATAAAGGAGCAAAAAAGACAGACATATAGAAAACAGATAGCAAAATGGCAGGTGTAAATCATAACTTACCCATGATTACATTAAGTGCAAATTGATTAAACACTCCACTCAAAGGGCAGAAATTGGCAAAATGAGGCAAAAAATGCATAATCCAACTTCATACTATCTACACGAAAAACACTTTAGATTCAAAGAAATAAGTAGAATGAAAGTGAAAGGAAGAAATATATATATACCATGTAAAAGGCAATGAAAAGAGAAGTGGCTATTTTAACATCAGGCAAAATAGCCTTTAAGACAAAAAATGCTATTGGAGAACAAGAAAGATATTTCATAATAACAAATTCAATCTATCAGGAATATATTAAAGCATTATAAGACATATATAAACATATATAAACATCAAAATACATGAAGCAAAAACTGCCAGAAAAGAAAAAAAGGGAAAACAGACAATTTGATGATAGTAACTGGGGACTTCAAATGACATTTTAAAAACTGGATGGAGCAAGTAGGAAGAATATCAGTAAGAAAACAAGACAGTTGAATAAAACTACAAACCAACTAGAATAACAGACATCTCTAAAATACACCTAACAACATCAAAATACACATTCTTGTCAAGCATCTGTGGAACTTTCTATTAGACCACATAGGAGGCCATAATAAAATAACACATAAATTTAAAAGGATTGAAATCATACAAATACAATTCTCTGAGAATAATAGAATTAAGTTAGCAATCAAAAACATACGGAAATCTGTAAAACCTACTAACATGTAGAAATTGAATAGTATATTTACATTTAGTCAGAATAAATCATGAGAGAAATCAGAAACTACTTTGAGATGAATAAAAATGAAAACACAACATACTGCAACTTATGGGATATAGGTAGAAGGGAAGAAACTTAGAGGGAAACTTACAGATGTTTATTTTTTATATTTTATTTAGACATTCATGAGAGACACAGAGAGACAGAGGCAGAGACAGAGGCAGAGGGAGAAGCAGGCTCCATGCAGGGAGCCCGATGTGGGACTCTATCCCAGGACCTCAGGATCATGACCTGAGCTGAAGGCAGACACTCAACCACTAAGCCACCCAGGTGTCCTGGGAAATGGTAATATTAAAAATATGAAAATCTCAAATCAATAATTTAAACTCTTATCTTAAATCACTAGAAAAAAATCAGCTTAAAACCAAAGAAATCATAAGGAAGGAAACAGTAAAGATTAGAGTCAAAATAAATGAATATTAAAACAATAGAGAACATCACTAAAACCAAAAATTGCTTTGAAAATAGAAAAAAAAACTGGCTAGATCAGTTATAGCTAGACCTACCAAGAAAAAAAGGATAAGGATTCAAATTATTAAAGTCAGAATGAAAGAAGGGACATGACTCTTAACTCTAAAAGTTTACATAGAATTATACAGTAATACTATGAACAGCTGTACGATAATAAGTAAGACAAGAGAGATCAAAGGGAAAAATTTCAATAAAGACACAAACTACCAACACTGACAAATAGGAATAGAAAGAAAAGTAACCTTACTGAAAATGGCAATGGAATTATGAGCCTTGACTCCAAAAGCAACAAACAAGCTGGGAAAAAGTATCAGAATCAACTTTTGTAGAACTATGGGGTCTAGTAAAATAAAAAGTGTAACAACCAGGAGGAAATTTGGTGAAAAAGGAGGTTGCTGCTTTGCGGTAAGAAATTTTAAATCATCTGCCTATCACCTGCCATGGCCCAGGTTGTCAGCAATCTGTCCATGACAGCTTGATATCCTGATTTACATTGCTAGTGCCAGAGGGAACAATAGACATCCTATTTTTTTAGAATTGTGGTTGTGGGTCTTAGTCTACCTGGCAGTTCCCTTAAAGATGAGCACAAAAACTTCCCTTTGTCATATGAGACAGAGCATTCCTTGGATTGGAACTGGGGCAGCTTCCTGGGTGGCTTTTGCCAAAAACATTTAAAGTCATGGGTATTGCCCACAGCAGCCTGGGGCAAAGAACATTTGAGATAAGCAATAGACAGATTGATAAGTCTTAGTATGAGTAGTTGGGGAAAAGAACTACATGAAGGAACAAGCACTTTTAAAAACTCACGTATCCCAAGGAATCAAATAGTATACGTCCATACCTAAGATTCAACTCATGTTCAGAAAAAGCCAGAGAAGACCCTAAACATTCACCTTGGGCTGGCCTTAAGGTTCTGCAGAAGCAGAAAGTAAAGCATTAAAAATACTTCAACTCAGAGCTCATCTGCTAAGATAGGGAAATTCTTTTCCTTCTGTTGGCTCTACACATTTAAAGTAACTTTGTCCAAATACCAGTTGATTACTTAGCTAATCAGGCACAGACTTCAGTGGACACACATGATAAAGAATACAGAATTTACAAAAATATTTTTATTTATTTATTTATCTTAAAGATTTTATTTATTTATTCATGAGAGACACAGAAGGAGGGTCAGAGACATAGGCAGAGGGAGAAGCAGGCTCCTTGCAAGGGGCCCGATGTGAGATTCAATCCTGGACCCCGGGATCACACTCTGAGCCAAAGGTAGACACTCAACCGCTGAGTCATCCAGATGTCCCCAAAAATATTTTTAAAAGTCACTAAACAAAGAAACAATCCACAACAAAGAAACAAACCCTGGAAAGTGGGAGGATCTAATTTACAGAGTTGACATTTTCTAATATACAAAACATCCAGATTCCAACACAAATTGTAAGGCAGTCTACGGCCATACCACCCTGAACGCGCCCGATCTCATCTGATCTCGGAAGCTAAGCAGGGTCAGGCCTGGTTAGTACTTGGATGGAAGACAAATTGTAAGGCATATGAAGAAACAAGAAAGTATGATCTATTTGTAGGAAAGAAAAATTATTAGACTGAATATAAGAAGGTTCATGTGTTGAACAAACTAGGTAAAATTTTGAATCAACTGTCTGAAATATGCTCCAAAGAAAAAAAGGAAAAGAGCTAAAAAGCTAAAGGAAACCTTGGACAAAAGACTAAGGAAATGAGGAAAAAATGCCCTAGCAAATATAAACTATTAGCAGAGAAATAGAATATATAGATAAAAATTATTAAAAGGAAACCAAATAGAAATTCTGGAGCTGAAAATAACTGAAATGGAAAGCTCACTAGAGAGGCTTGGCAGCATATTTGAGCTGGTAGAAGAAAGAATCAGTTAGCCTGAAGATAGATCAGTTGAGATTACCCAGTCTGAGAAGCAAAAAGTAAAAAGGATGAAGAATTAACAAAGAACCAGGAGACACAATGAAGCATACTTAACAAATGTGTGATAAGAATCCCAGAAAGAAAAGCAAAACAGGAATAAAGACTTTTTGAACAAATAAAAGCTAAAAATTACTCACTAGGGGACACCCAATCTATGTATCCAAGAAGTTCAGTTAACTCCAATCAGGATAAACATGATCCAAATCATGACACATTATAGTCACATTGTCAAAACAAAATATATGGTATTACACTGTAGCAACTATAGTTTTGGCAATTTTCTAGTTTTTGAGTTCAGTGGTGGTGTCACAGTATGAAAGAGGGAAGGGAAGGGAAAAAATAAAGGGAAGGAAAGGAAAGAGGGGCAAAGGGTTAATGATAAGACTAAGTTGTAGACCAAGAATTATGATAAATTTGTTCATCAGTTATCCACTAAAAATAGTTTATTTATTTTGTTTTAAAAATATTTTATTTATTTGAGAGAGCGAACAAAAGACAAAGTACCAGCTAGGTAAGGGGAAGAGGGAGAAGTAGACTCCCCGCTAAGCAGTGATCCTCCCCACCACCCCACCACCCCGAATGGGGAGCTCCATCCTAGGACTCTAGGATCATGACCCCAGCTCAAGGCAAACACTTAACCCACTGAGCCACTCAAGTGTCCCTTAAAAAACATTTTAATGCTTTCTTTTTTTAGCCATCTGATATTCTGCATGAGAACAGGTCAAATATTGGAGTGCAAGTTTCAAGTGTGAAGAAAAGTAAACAGAGAAGGTGAGAAGGAAGTTGCTGAAAGAAGGTTGGGGTATATGGATTTTGAGTTGCTTCAAGGGCATTCAAGTAGTGGTATCCAATAGACAGTTGACAAAGGGTCTGGGGCTAAGGGGAAGAAATAGCCTGGAGATGGAGATTTGAGAATTATCGGTGTTTAGAGGGAAATGAACAGAAGGCACTCAGGGAGAGCAAACTTGAGGATTGAGGAGAGAGGAGGCCCAGGAACACAGCTACTCAAGGTGGCAGCGCCGCTTCCTGGCCGGCACTACTACCTGGGCTCTGGAGTCAGGCAGAACGGGTCTTGAAAGATGCTTGTGGTACACAGTTGCTGAGCACTCCCGGCAAAGTCGGGTACCCTCCCTGTGATCAGCAGTCACACCTGGCAATGACGTGCATTTCACAGGGATGCTGTGCGAGGACCTGCGATGCGCCAGGTAAAGCACTTGCAGTTGGGAAGACTCCCCGCTCCTGCTGTCTGTGACTCCCCCTGGCCATCCCCTCCCCCACCGTCTGTTTCTGACGGGTCCCTTGGGGATGGGGCTGAGGAGGCGGGGCGGGGGGGGGAGGACAGAGCTCGGGTGACGCGGGGCTCACGTGACTGGCCGGGCGCCGACGTGGGCCGCAGCCCGGGCGCCCGCTCGCTCGCCCGCCTACCCTGCGGTCTCGTCCCTGCGCTGTCGGTTTCCGTCACCAGCGCGGAACCAACTCTCTGAGCTGCCGGGACGGCTTACGAGGGGCGAGCGGGCTTCAGCGAGCCCGAGGAGGCGCAGGCCTGCCCGGGGCCCCGCAGGTCAGTGTAAAGGTGGGCGCTGCGGGCAACCCTGAGCAAGGGTGGAGGTGGATGGGAGTAGGAACCGGGAGCAGCACGGAGCAGGAAGGGGTCCGGGAGGTTGGTGAGGAGGGGGGGCACAGCGCAGATGTGGGCAGGTGGGGAGGAGCACCCCATAGCAGGCCCCGCTGCTGCCTCCTCCACGCCCCTCCTCTGCGCCCTCCATCCATTTTTGAACCTGAAATTGGGGGGGGGGGCGCCCCGCAGTGCGACAGTGAAATGTAGACATATTCTAGAAATAACCCCTTCTCACACTCTGTGCCTAAAATGAAATACTGACCTCAGCGGAAAGGGGGTGGGCTGGGCGGCTTGCTTGCAGAGGAGGGGGACACAGCGACCCAAACAGTTCTGAAAGCATCCTGGTCTGGACCTGAGGCATGAAAAGTAATGGCGGCTGGGATGCGGGGGAGGTAGGAGAGGGAAATGTTGCATGAGGAGAGCCCAGATTCAGGGAAGAAACCTCAGTCGGTTGAGTGCACAGGCCCTGCCCCTGTCTTCCATCTGTCTGCAGGTCTGTGTGTCTGTCCCCAGCACTCTGCAAGGCTAGAAAAGGAAGAGGAACCTGTCCAGAATCCCTGCAGGTGAGTGAAAGGGGGAAGAGGCTCTGAGCAGGGATGTTGGTGGGGAGAGTGTAGAGCGCAGAATTTTAGGCCCCCACTTCTCATCCCCCCACCACAAGTATTGCATACACCTGCCAGGGAAATGGTTGGGAGGAATGGTGGGGTAAATGGTGTGCAGAAGACACTTGGAGGGTTGGGATTCAGAAAAGGGACCCAAGCCTTTGTGCATCCACTGAATGCCCAGCCCCTATCTCCTGTCTGTTTGCAGTTCTTTGTGTTTGTTCCCAATTCTCTACAACACTAGAAAAGGAAGAGTTACCTGTCTTGAATTCCTGCAGGTCAGTGAAATAAGAGGGTCTCTGGGCAGGGACCCAGAGCAGTGGGGAGGGAGTGTGGAGGGTACAGCATGGGCAGAATTTGGAGTCTCATTACCTGCAAGGCTAGAAAAGTAGGAGGAACCTGTCCAGAATCCCTGCAGGTGAGCGAAAGGGAGGAAGGGCACTGGACAGGAACGGTGTGGGGAGGGTGTAGAGGGCACACCGAATGCAGAATTTGAGGTCCCCACTGCCCATCCTCCATACCATGCTGAAGGATGGTACAGAAGGTGGTAGGGCCTGCCAGGGAAATGGTTGGCTCTCACATGTGGGAGGAATTGTAGGGTAAAAGGTGGGTAGAAAACACACTTGGAAGGCTTGGCCAGGTCAAGAGAACCCAGCCAAGGGGAAGGATGCCAGTAGTATCACCACCAGCATTCCACCTCCAAGCCCTCAGTCTCCCTTGTCTCCTTTGTCTTCTCTTCCCCCTCCTACCCCACCCCACTCCACCCCCTAGGAAAAGGAAAAGAAGGGGAAATCTCAACATGGAAAAACTCTACAATGAAAATGAGAGAAAGCTGGAAATCAAGGGACATCCAGAAGATGAAGTAGAGCCTGAAGATGAAGGAAAATCAGATGAGGAAGAAAAGCTGGAAGAGGAAGGGAAGCCAGGGCATGAGGGAAAGCTCCAGAATAAGGGACAGCCAGATGATGAGGGAAAGCAAGAAAAACAGGGCAAGTCTGAAAATGAGGGAAAACCACACGGTGAGGGCAAGCCAGAATCCCAGGCAAAGCCTGAGGGTGAGCCACGGGCTGCCGAAAAGCGCCCAGCTGAAGATTATGTGCCGAGGAAAGCAAAAAGAAAAACGGACAGGGGGACGGACGACTCCAAGGACTATCAGGAGGACTTACAGGAAAGGCACTTGGGAAGTGAGGAGATGATGAGAGAATGTGGAGATATTTCAAGGGCTCAGGAAGAGTTAAGGAAAAAACAGAAAATGGGTGGTTTTCATTGGATGCAAAGAGATGCACAGGATCCATTTGCCCCAAGGGGGCAACGAGGTGTCAGGGGGGTGAGGGGCGGAGGTAGAGGCCAAAGGGGTTTACATGATATCCCATATCTTTAATGTCTTTGGTCTTTAATTCTAACTTCTCTAATGAGAATATTGCTGACCCTGCTTTCCCTGGCAGGCATTTGCCAGGCTATGTGCTCTAACTTTAAGCTGAAATTTTGTTTTAGGTGTCACTCTTATTACCAGAAGCCTTTTCATCCGACTATTATGCTCTCTGCCTTTCAGTAGGTAATTTTTATCCATGTGCATGGAAGAGGTGTTCATGGTACATTGCAAAATAACAATAAAATAAAACCATTTTTAGAACCTCATATGCAGTACCAGCCCATTTTTGTAAAGATATGTTTGCATAATGCATTTGTGCACTGAGAGAACTCTGAAAGTATGTTATACTAAAAAGTAGGCAATTATTTTTCCCATATGGTAGCCAAAAATAGGTCTCACCCATACTCAAAAATGAGTTCAGTCACCTCATGGTAGGTACTTTTGTGCCATTCCTCTGCAGGTGTGCCCATCCCCATGTCTTCCCCAGTTGTATCCATGTCAGTGAGCACTGCTGCTCCTTCTGAGTCCTGTACTGTCCTATGGCTCCCACCATGGTGTGATTCTTTTTTTTTTTTTTTTGGTTACTCATCTCTTTTCCCTAAAGGATATATTAATTATGTCTGTGATAATTTAAAAATAACTAAAATCAGAAAACAATATATGGCAAATGATTGAACTGTTCAGTGAGTTTAAGAAGGCAGTGAAGACACTTAAAAAAATTCCTGTTGTCAGAATGTACAATAATAGGTAAAACTCACATTTTCTGGGACTAATAGAGGAATCAACCTGACAGTTATAACAGACCCACTGTTATAAGGGTCAGTGTTGTCATCTGTGAAATGGAGATATTACTTGTCTCATGGGCCTGCCAAGTGGATCAAATGAGGTACTGAGTATGTGAGGTGTGTTGTAACCCAGCCTCTTATGTATTAACCAGATACTTATATGTATGTGGAGAGGGGGGTGGTGGTGGCTCCCACAACATTGCCATGCAGTAGCACATAGCTGGATGGAATCAGACATGGAGCAAGCCTGAAGGAGGTCCCACCTATGCCCACTAACAAGTCTAGGCAGCTAGAAGATGAATGCCATTGTCTCCTGGATACTTCTATATCTGCTGGGCACTGTGCCCTTTCTCCTGAGTTCTGTACCCATTACTGATAGAGTCTCATGAGCTGGAGGCCTTAAGGTGCCAAAGCCCACCCACCCTTGACACTTATAGAAGTGTGAATAAATCTCTTTCCCCACTTGAGTTACAGTTATTCAGTTATCTGTAAGTATTCTGCTAGTGCTACTTGGTATTCTAATCTCTTTTATTTTTTAGCAAAATGATCATTTATGTGTATTCTTTTGTTTATGGGTTTTTGCATACATGAATATCCTCATCAAATTCAGATATTGCAGCCTAGGCCAGGAAAAAAAATCTGTATAATAAAAGCTGTGCTATGGCCCTTGGGTGGCTCAGTTAGTTAAGGGTCTGACTTCAGCTCAAGTAATGATCTCAGGGTCCTGGAATAGAGCCCCATGTTGGGCTCTATGCTCAGCAGGGAGTCTGCTCATCCCTCTGCTCTTCCTCCTGGCATAGGTGCTCTCTCTCTCTCTCAAATAAATACAAATCTTTTTAAAAAGTGTGCTATTCTTACAGGTTAATATCTGCAAACTCTCTTTCCTAGGTTGAGTTCTTTCCAAGGAAACTTGTCAGGCCCCACTTTAGCAATTGATCAAACCCTTAAACATATTTGATTTTTAGATCCTTATTTGTGAACATGTGGTACATGGACCAGCTTATCAGTATCACATGAGAGTCGTTTATAAATGCAGAATCTCAGGCCCTACCTCAGACTTACTGAGTTAGAATCATTTTAACAAGATTCCCAGGTTATTCCTATGCACATTGAAGTTTGAGAACCACTGACTCGGCAGCCCCGGTGGCGCAGCAGTTTAGTGCCGCCTGCGGCCCAGGGCGTGATCCTGGAGACCCTGGATCAAGTCCCATGTCAGGCTCTCTGCATAGTGCCTGCTTCTCTCTCTGCCTCTGTGTGTGTGTGTGTGTCTCAATAAAATAAATTAAGTCTTTAAAAAATTTTAAATAAAGAGAGAACCACTGACTTAGATGGAGACTCTTAAGGCTCTCCCCACCCCAACTTCCCATAAAATATGTGCCTGAAAGGATAAATATATGCACCATATAAGAAATACATCACAGATAATTAAATAGACCTATTTTTGTCAAACTGTAGTTATCCCTCCCTGCATTGCTAGGTCTTGAAAATAATTCAGTGGGTCAAGATTTGCAAATTGTTAAGGAGGTAGGATAAGGGCAAATAGAAAATATCAAATTGCATTGCAGGTATGGTGAATATTAAATGAAAATTGTATTTCTTATGTGTGTGTAATATGAGTTGTGATAAAAATATATTTCTAACTGTAGACTATAGTTTTAAAAGAACTGAGAAACACTCTATTGAATTCTTTGCATCTCAAAACACAACCAGTCCATTTCATATTTGTATCCCTAGTGCCCAACACAGTACCTGACAAACGGTAGGTATTCAATAAAAGCATAAATAATAATGACTAATTCAGGAACCCTACTCTTTCCCCCAAGCTTAGCCCCTATTTACATAATTAACTTTGGACAAATAATTTTAATTGTCTAATAGGGTTTACCAGCCCAAGGAGAGATCCTGAGCTGTAGAACTTCTCAACCCCAGGAAGACAGTCTCTGCAAAGTGAAACTAAATAACTGTGGTATCTGTGCTATAAAGCGACCCAGTGGAGGACTCTGTATGCCACAGGAGCACAGTGTCATAAAGGAACACTATGCCTGTCAGGGTGGGAGGCCAGGGTAAGGAGCTGCCCTGGAAGGGTAACAGTTGAGCTACCTGTAGTTCTTTCTGGCATGACCTTTCTCTAGTTAGCCTGTGGGAATCAGGGCCTTAGATTTTAGAGACAACATATATCATATTGGTTTTGAGCTTGGACTTCATATGGTTTCCAATTTTAAGTGGTACCCAGAGCTATAGTGCAAGTTTCTCGGACACTTCAGCCTCATAACCCTGCAAACCCAATTGTATTATATTCTTGCTATACAGAGTCTATGAAACCTTAAAAATACCCAATAATAGAATTAAAAAACACACTCCTTTACTTTTTGAGCAAACCATGCCCTCTTCCTTTAGCAATTACTCTCCATTCGAGAAGCAGCTCAGTTGGGCTTGCTACCAGACCCTGGTAGAGACTTAACACCTGGCCATGATGTATTAATTTTCTGTATGAATGAGACACCCATTATGAACTTGTTTCTGTTTACTCTGTTGAATAATAAAGTTTTGTGTGGGCACCAACAAATGGACTAAAAGACTGGACTTGGGCACATCAAAATGGCACAATGGCCTCAAGGGAGTCCTCATAACCTGTTAGAAGAAGGCTAAAATGATGATCCAGATTGTGGATGTATCTTCTTGGTGCATTGACAGTAAATGTAAATGGATGTCTTCTGCACTATAACCCCACTCAGGGATGACTCAGAAAAACAGAGGGAAAGAAACATGCTACCATTGGGTGGAATGATATATGGTTCACATGGTTGTTGTCTTTGTATGTAACTCTTCATGGCTGTAGGTATGGATCTATTATGACCCATCTGCAGTGATGAAAAGATTAATTAGGGACTTTGGAAAGAATTAATTGGAAAATTAATAATCGCAGATATTTATATCCCATGATATAATAATTTACTATTGCACAACAAATTACCGCACACTTAGGTTAACAAAACATTCATTTATTAGTTCACATATTTGTAGGCAAGAGATCTTGCACAGTATGATTGTGATTTCTGCTCAGGGTCCCACAAGGCTGACATCCAGGTGTTTTCAGAATTCAGTTCTTTGCAGCTATAGGATGATGGTACTGCCTTTTTTTTTGCTGGCTATCAGCTGAGCTGTTTTCAGCTTATAAAAGCTTCAATTCTTTACCACAAGGCTCACTCCATTTTCAAGCCAGCAACAGTGCATTAACTCTTTCTCATGCTTCTAATCTCTGACTTCCTTGTATCTGACTCTAGACCCCTATTTAAAGGGATGATGTAGGGCAGCACCAGTGGTGCAGCAGTTTAGCGCCGCCTGCAACCCAGGGTGTGATCCTGGAGACCCTGGATCGAGCCCCACGTCAGGCTCTTTGTATGATGCCTGCTTCTGTCTCTGCTTCTCTCTGTCTCTATAAATAAATAAAATCTTTAAAAAAAATAAAGGGATGATGTAGGGTGCCTGGGAATTAATCTGACTCCTTATTTTGCCTCAGGTCATGATCTTAGGGTTGTGAGATTGAGTCCCGCATTGGCCTCTGCACTGGGCATGGACCTGCTTAAAATTCTGTCTCTCCCTCTCTAAGAAAAAGTGGGGGGTGGGTGATGTGATTAGGTCAGGACCACCCAGATAATTTTCTTATGTTAAAGTCAACTGATTTGAGGCCCTAATTATATCTGCAGTTGGCTTCACAGAAACACATGGATTAGTGCTTGATTAAATAACTGGAAGAAGGTGTGTATGCAATGCCAGCTGGCAATTTGGTAGGCAATCCTAAAATAATGCCTACCACAGTTCACCTTCTGATTCCTGAAGATTCATTTCCTTCCCAAATGCAAAAACTATTGAACTTCTCCCAAGGTTCACAAGAATCTCATCTCATTACAGCATTAGTTCAAAAGTCAAAAATCTCATCATCTAAACCACCTAAACCAGATTTGTATGAGGATCCTAGGCATAATCTGCTACATAGAGTTTCTGAATATATTACTCTCCATCTTAAACTCCATGGGCCCACACACTAAGTGGTCATGGTGACTGAGTTGGATACTATGACTGGGCTCCACAACATAGCCTTCCTAATTACCAAGGCTGACCTGGCTACTCCCACTGTCAGGTGTCCAAAACTCCCACAGCAGAGGACAATGCTGACCTGTATATTTGGCACCATTTCCTGGTGCAACCAACTAGCCGCCAAGTGGTAAACTGATTCATTGGAGCCCTTCTTTCACAGAGGAGTCAGAATATTTTTTCTTATAGTAATAGATATGCATATCTGATAAGAAGTTGCCTTTATTGTCCATAACACCTCTGTCAACATAAACATGTCTTAGCTACCTGAGTAGTGCCACACACAAAATCACCAAAATCATTCAACCAAGGACTTAAATTTGCTGTAAAAGATAAAAAGAAATGGGCTCAATATCACAGAATTTACTAATCT